GGACGCAGCACTACTCCGAGAGCGGTGTTGCGTTCAATTCGCCGCCGAAATTCGGCTAGCAAACGCCCAGCAGAATCGCGCCTCAAGAATACATGGGAACTTTGAAGCGCTAGTGATGTCAGCGGCGACGAAGCCGCCGCCGCGTTTGTTCATGGTCGCCCTTAACTCATGAGTTCTGTCCACAATGCTCTTGTTGCATGCCCATCGCTCATGAGTGTCGCATTTACTCGGCACTTGCTTCCGTTTGACAGAATGTAAAATACTGCTTTTCCATTTCTTCAAGAGGAGTCACGCCTACTTTAATATTGTTTCTTATGCAGCTCATGACAAACAGATACTTCTGGTTGAAACAGCAGCATTGATGTCTCTCTGAGTGTTTTGTTATTGTTTGCATAAAAAATAGTGGAAATTCTTACGTGTGAAAAAAGAAGTTATCCTTTCTTTTTGCGCATTGCTCAAAGTCATTAAAATAATTCATTAAAACGCACAACTATTTGTTTTGCGCGCATTGATTAATGAAAAACATAATTTCTTGGACGTCACCAAACCTGACATGCCAGTTTGGCAAGGGTAAGTCAGGTTTGACGATGTCACCAAACTGACATTTTGCTGTTATTAATTTTTCCTGCCAATCTACAATAACAAAATCAAACGAATCATTGAGGTTAGGCCCAGAGGCCACCTGTAGATGTAAGATAAAAATATTTGCTCATATATTCCACTAAAAGTTTTGATGGAAAACAGCGTCACCAAGCTGACTTGAATAAGTGAGACACTTCGAAAACCATGAAAACAACTGAAATCATTCTGAAATTGGAAGAAATATGTGAACTTACCAAGTACTTGTTTGTTAGTTCTCCACTTCCGCACTCAGTCACGCCTCAATCCGCACACTAGTGCTATCTCTTGAGTGGCCACAAACTGAAACACATAGCGTCACCAAACTGACATAATATTGAGTACGCTTCAAGCCTCAAATTAAATTGAATACTATAGTTTTTTGGTGTTTCAATGCATATTATATCAAACAATATACATTCAAGACTTTAAAAAAATTAGAGTAAGCTCGCAAAAGGTCCTGGTTTATTTATATAACAATTTGACACTTTGATTACCTCTGAGTTACGCGTCACCAAACTGACATTTTCACTGTTAAGCGTGTAGACAAAAGGTTTACAGTTATTCAAGTCTCCTGAGAAATTTTTTCCTGGTTGGTGTGACCTGCTTCTGCGCTAAAAACCAAACATAAAGGGAAAATATTTTAATTGAAAATTTTGAGTGGTCAGTTACACGTAATTCCCATATTTTATCCCATTAGCTGAAATCCACCCATATACCAAACGTTTTCGTTTTGAAATTTTTTCTTCAAAATTTAATTTACTCTAATTTTCAAATAACTTTTTTGGTCAAGAAATAAAAAATCAGCGAGATATTTGCGAAAAACAGAATTTTAGGCCATTTTTAGGCTATTGTTTCAAAACGACGGCTTTAGTGGTGTAAGTATCTTCATAAAAATTTAAAATTCCGATTCAGTGCCCAAAAATACATATGAAGCACTCGACAAAAAGTTTTCCCTAAGAGCCCCTATCTTACTCCTGACTGCCTGGACTAGAACCCGAAAATGATGCTCATGTGTTAACTTTGATATGCTCGAGCATTGGGTTAAAATTGTCGCATAATCTTTGGATCAAGTTTAAAGTTTTGATTTAGGAAGAGGTCCCCGATCGACGGTCGGATTGGCCTAATCAAATTTCGGACTTTCAAAAATAAGCTGCACCCTAAGCAATCCCTAGCAATTTTGGTGCTGTGCCCTGCAACAACACGCAGCTCGGAGCTAGAGGGGTTAGCCGTGAGCCTCTCAGATAGCTCGAATAGATGGCCGGTTTGACGTCACCATTTCATTCAAGACCAATCCACACAGGTCAGTCATTGCGCAGCTTTTTTGAAATCCACTTCCCTGCCCGGCCCTAACTCGCAGCACTCAATGCTACGTCACAATGGGTGCTCCCATAAGAAATACATTGCAAGCACTCAATACTACGTCACTGCGCAGTAGAGTACCAAAACTCGTCTTCGGGAATGACTGACCTGTGTAGATTGGTCTTGATTGCATTCGTGGTGGCTTATTTTGTCACACAGCAGGCTAATTACTATGAAAGAATTTCGTCACCTTTCACAACCAGACCTGCAGGATTGCAACCCAGAGGAGAAAAACACTGCTGAAGCGGAGAATCAAACTCAGTTGCTTGATGAATTTTGCCTTACATTTGCATCCATCCACTTTTCGACCGACCTGGTGAAGAGGTGACTCACCTCGAAGGTGAGCCGAGAATTTTGGATGTGATTGTCATTTCTGCCAGTACGAAAACCAAATGTTGCAGGCGCTTTGTCTCTTAGAGAGAATTTCGTTTTGTTGTATTGGAAGTTGGCACTTGGCAGTAAGTCAAAAATTTAACCAAATCCATTCGCAGCAATTCGACGAAGTGTTTTCTGACTTTAATGACCTTCCAACTTTTACCTTCAGGTACTAATTTTGCTGTCGCCTTTGATCAAATGCCACAGTCATCCTTGGAAGATATGGTCACTGCTGTGAAACACTCTTTGCCCAGCTATGACGAGTCAGCTCTGTGTAGCTCAGCCTTTCGAATTTTACGAGCAACTGTCAATACGTGGCTTCGAGATGTCGTACAGCATAAAAATGCTTTTGCTGATCTGCAATTAGTTCAATTTTACAGGTATGGTTACATAATTTTCTAATTACTACAGAAAGAGGGTGTACCAAAAGTTCCTGCACTGGTGCTGTTATTTTGGAATTAAGATAGGTATTGTGCTGATCTTGCTCCCATATTAAGGCTTTTATAATTTCCAATCAATTGAAGCCAAAATTATCTCGTTTGATCAAAAGCTAATAGATTTATAAAGGTTTAGCTGGAGAGAGTATAGCTGCTGCCTACAGGGTTCTCATGATATTTTTTCAAGTGTTAAAGGTCCTAAAAGTGTCTCCAGTGAAAGTTTCAAGAAAAGTGTTCCTAGCAACACTGTAATCAACTAAGTAGCAACGCTTGGTCCTTGTTAAGGTAACCATAGTAAGAATGGCAAAGAGAGCTGTGTAAGTGAAGTCTGGAAAATGTATTCCTGCAGGCACCTGCTTGATTTTGTGCTCACAGAACTCACGATATTCCTGTGTAATGTTAATGCATTTTGAATAGATTTTTCGTCTATAATGGAAGAAGGTAAGATAGTGTTACAAGAATGGCGTTATGGCACTCATCGCTGTGTACAACGTCGACTTTCTGCAACCAAAAGTGTCCATAAAGTAGAAACAGTTCAAAATTCCTTACTGGAGATTCCATATTAAGAATTTCAGAACATAATAATGTAGAGCTGGCAGAAAAGGATGCTAAAATAGATCTCGGATGATTGTACTTTTTGGTGAGAAATTAATGGTCGCTGTAAACCTTTAGGTGGCAGCTTCCCTTCCTCCATTTAAATCTTCATAACCCAGTCTCTCTTGAGCAAATGAAGTGATATCAGTTTTTATCGATTCTTCTTCTTCTTATTCCGTGTCCAGAGTAAGAGACATAAAACATAATCATCGTAAAATTTATTAATAAAAATAAGATAAAAATTACATCTTGGAGCTCCAATAATTAGCAATGTTAGTTGCAGCGTCACTTGCTAAAATAAGATCATCCCCAGTGCAGACCGATTTCATTTAAGGGCATTCTAGGAGATGCAATTTTAATCGATCAGAAATAGTGTAACATTTAAAGTGAGACCAAGCTCAGCTCAATAGTTATCTTAATTCCGGAGTTACAGCATTAATCCAGGATCTTTTGGAACACCGTATGTATTTTTTAATTGAAATTGAAAGTAAGATTGATATGTTGAGTAAATATTCGTCCAAACAATATACAGGAGCAAAAAAAAAAAAAGAAAATAGGTAAATAATAGTAAAATGGAAGAGGCAGAGGGCAAACTTAATTTGTAAAACAACCCCAAGATGCAACATGATTTTAAACCCCCTGATGAAATGAGAATTGATCATAGTCAAGAATATATACAGGGTGATCCAAAAGTCCCTTCCGCCCCCTCTAACTTTTTTCCTAATTGAGGTAAAGATTTGAAACTTGAGGAATGTTCCTAGGTTAAAGGGAGCTTCTTTTTGGTCTCCCTGAAATTTTCAGGGGGGTTCGCCTTGGGGGGCAACGGACCCGAACTTTTTTTTTCTAATGGGAAGACCCCCTTTCCAATAGCAGGTGGGAAAGAGCATAAAAAAAGAAAAATTTTTGCGCCAACCATTAGTAATATCTCCAACCGTTTCAAAATGGCGGCTGATTAAAGTTCAAAATTACCAAAACTTCACACCGGTTATTTCTTGATGGACTCTCGCGAAAATAGGTATGTGGGGGTATTTTGACAAGAGAATAACGAATTTGACGTTAGACTTTCAAAACAACCGAAATTTTCTAAATGGCCGCCGGTTAAAGTTCACAATGACCGAAAATTGATTTTTTTAGAAAGAGCGACACCAAAAACGACCGTTTTTTGGCACAATTTGGGCCAGAAGGGATTTTTCTGAAACCGGGCCCAAACGATACCTTATGATACCCTAAAACTCTGGTTAAAATTTTAGCTTGAGTATACGCTCGGTTTTTGAGAAATGAGGGGGCAAAGTTGCCAAATCGCCATCATTCTGGACAGCATTTCTACAGCAAAAAGACGGGGAAAATGGACGAAAAAGTCAAATATTTGATGGGTTTCGGCTGTAAATGTTCTCTTTGGGCCCCCAAGCATTTAACTGTGTTCAGTTTCAAAAATTTTGGTCGCACAGTGGTCCAAAATGGGGAGAAATCGTCGACAAATCAGGATTCTTTGTCAAATTTTTAGAAATGGAAGTAAAATTTTCGGTCTGCTGCAGTTTTCATGGCTAACAATGTTCTTATTGGTCCTCAACTTATGAAAATGTGTTCAGCTTCACAAATGTACATCGCACAGTGGTCAAAAATGGGGGAATTAGTGGACAAATTAAGATCCTCTGTCAAACTGTTGGTCCCCAGTAGAGTTTAAATCCCGGAAAAATGCATGTTTTTATTTTTTTTTAATTATTTATATATGTCAGACCGTATTGTTTATAGAACGTTGTTATAGAGTAGACTTTGTAGCATTATTTCAATAGAATATGCAAACTTTCAGAAATTTAAAAAAAAGAAAGAAAAGTGGAGAGAAAAAACGTAAAAAAGATCTAAATAGTCAAAAAAAGAATTTAAAGAATTTTTCTGGGATCTGAAGTCTACTGGAAACCAATAGTCGTACATCATTTTTAAAAAGTTAGGCAGAAGATCTTAATTTGTCCACTAATTTCCCATTTTGGACCATTGTGCGATGAAAATTTGATAAACTGAACCCAATTGAATGCATTGAAGACCGATAAGAACATTGTTCCCCATGATCTCTGCAGGAGACCAACAATTTTACTTCCATTTTTAAAAAGTTTGACAAAGAATCCTTATCTGTCCACAATTTCTTCCCATTTTAGACCACTGTACGTCCAAAATTTTTGAAACTGAAGACAATCACATGCACGGGGGCTCAATAAGAACATTTACAGCCGAAACCCATCAAATATTTGACTTTTTCGTCCATTTTCCCCGTCTTTTTGCTGTAGAAATGCTGTCCAGAATGATGGCGATTTGGCAACTTTGCCCCCTCATTTCTCAAAAACCGAGCGTATACTCAAGCTAAAATTTTAACCAGAGTTTTAGGGTATCATAAGGTATCGTTTGGGCCCGGTTTCAGAAAAATCCCTTCTGGCCCAAATTGTGCCATTCTTGGCGTCGCTCTTTAAGTTCAAATGTGTTAATCTCATGCCAAAATATCCTCAAGTTCCAAGTGCTAAGCAAATCCATCAGCAAAAAACCGAGGTGGCAATTTTCGGCTATTTTGAACTTTAACCGGCGGCCATTTTGGAAATTTCGGTTTTTTAAAAATCTAACGTCAAATTCGTTTTTCTCGTGTCAAAATACCCGCACATCCATTTTTTCGCGCAAATCCATCGAGAAATAACAGGTGTGAAGTTTCGGCCATTTTGAACTTTAATCGGCCGTCATTTTGAAACGGTTTGAGATTTTGACTTCTGGTTTGCGCAAAAAGTTTCCTTTTTTTATGCTCTTTCCACCCTGCTATTGCAAAGGGGGTCTTCCCATTAGAAAAAAAAGTTGGGGTCCGTTGCCCCCCAAGGGGGGCCCCCCTGACAATTTTAGGGAGACTAAGTAGCTCCCTTTGACCCAGTAACATTCCTCAAGTTTCAAATCTTTACCTCAATTAAGAAAAAAGTTAGAGGGGGTGGAAGGGACTTCTGGATCTCCCTGTATTTTTTACCTGTATCATGAACATCAGCTGCTGAAATACTTCCAAGATGTTTATAACAGCTAGATTAGCCACTCGCGACATTGTGCAACTGGTCACTATCAGTCACATCTGATTTTGTAATGGCTCTAAAAACAGGTCTCAAAAATGGGAAGGCCAAAGTACATTAGCACAGGAATTGCGTAGCTTGCTCAAAAGGAAGTCGAAAATTTCGTCCTTCTTGCAAAACAGTAGTGAAAATCATGGAAGGTGAATCTGTTCTGCCTTCTTAAAAAAAAACTAAAGAAGAAAAAATGGATATCTGGACGTACAAACTTGGAGAGAAAAATTGCGAAGGAATGCACTTACTCCATTTCCGCTTTGAGTTAAATAATGATGAAGTGGTTCTAATAACAAACAAGCAGGTAAATCCAACACGTCGTGTCGGAAGAGCGCACCTTAAGAATAGATTCCTATTTTCATATTCAGTTTTAGGCTTGTTCCCAGCTATCTAACTAATCATAATCTCCCTCAAATCTTAAGTTGGTCTTCATAAATAATTCACTGCTCTAATTAGACATCCTAGGCTCTTTTTTACTTCAAATTGCCTACCGTTCTCGTGTGTTAAATAGGTTTTATTTAATATTTACTTCTTGCATTTACTAATCGAATGGTGTAAGATACTTGCAATTTTAGTTAAAAAAATAACAATTTTATTGCGTTCAATTGCAAAAGTATTTTTACACAGACTTTTGAGTCTTTCTACAGGTATTGCTAAGGTTTAGCAAGCCAGCAGGTATGGGTATGAATGAAAGTCGAAGGCAACTCTCAGCTACTAATCACTTATAAAAGAACAAAGGCACTGAAAGTGTACAATCGCATGAAACTTGTCGCAATGTGAACACTCAGTTCTGTATTGGAGAGCACATCTATTTTTTTAAAATGTTGAATCGGAAACAATATGCGGATTTATATATTTGAAAGTAGGGAGCAGTCGTTCATTTACCATATAATGCACCGCACATGTGCAATAAGGTTAGGTTAGGTTAGGGGTTTACCCCTTGCTGGCCCTCTGTCTACTAGGAAAATTTGGAAAATACTTAAATGCCTGAGCAGCCTCTTTCTTGAGGGGAAAATAATATAGAGTGTTATCAATCGTCGTATTTAATGTATTCACATAACAAAAAAGAGAACCTTGACTCATTGCAGTTGTCAGAAATTATTGATAATAATATTTTTAAGATTATACAGATTTTTTAACAAGACCTAGTCAAATCAGGAGGCAACCCTGATTATACTCCTTTCCTTTAGACCACGAAACAATCAAGGGAACAAGCAGGAACTATTTCTAGCAAATCACTACCAGAGCGTTAGTCAATCCTGGTATTTTCTTTTTTATGTCAGATTATGAATACAATATTTTATCTCTTTGCTAAAATGGATAGTAAAATTGTTTTATTTAAGTAATGTTTTACCTTTTCAGGTGGGTGTCATCTCCAACATCGCTTCTGTATGACCCAGCTATCCACCGCACTCTGTGTAAATTAATGAAAAAGCTTTTCATGCAGCTTATTGCTGAATTTAAACGTCTCGGCTCTGTTGTGATCAATGCTAACTTTAACAAAATTCTCATTTGTACAAAGAAAAGATCTCTAAAGGATGGTGTTGGATATATTGAATTTGTAGTGCGAAACATCAGGAACAAAGAAATATTTCATTACATCGAATTGCTCTATCGTAAAAGCTCCTGGGAATACCTTTTATGGTATGATCCATATAATTTCGGTGGCATCCCTACAAAAATGCCAGAGAATTTATTAAGTGTCGGTGAGAACAACAATCTAGACGAATTATTTGCAGAGCAATGTGAAGCAATCCCTGATCAGAGTTCAAACTTAAGTTTTACGAGCAATTTGAAAGGAAAAAAGGATTTCTCAGATTCTAAGCTTGAGCAAGAGGGAACACTAATAGATGAAGAAAAAAATGAAGAAAATGAGATAAGGAACAAGACTAAATATTCTACTGGAAAGGGAAGTGTTGAATTGAACTTTCATATGGTTGAACATTTACCAGAGATGTTTCAAAATCAGTTTAGGAACATTATCGGTGGTTATATAGGCTTGATTTTTGATTTCTTATCTGAAAACGTAGGGAAGCAAAATGCAGATGATTTACTGAATAATCGAAAATTGCTATCCTCTCAATTAAGTCAGATAACACAGTCAGTTCCCCTCGGCACTAATTCATTTGAAGCTGCTAAAGAGTATGCTCAACACTTAATTAAAACAGAATTAACGCCAAAATTACTAGCATTAGTGCAGAAATTAGACCAAAAATTCCCCAAGTATCAGATTGATAATAATCTAGTTCCAGGCATAAAACTGCAAGAAATCAAACCATCACTTGAATTTATAAAAGTTGTCACACAAGTGTTAAGTTTAGATCCATCAATATCTAATGAAATTCAAAAGTTGCGGAGCTTCGCTTTCCAAATGATTGGAACCAGTGCCTTCAGCAATGAATCTCAATTCTTTGATCCATTCATCAACATTCTAATTCCAGAGATCATCTGTGATTACTGCAATTATTCACATGAAATCAATGTCACAAAAGAAATCCACAAAAAGAAAACGGAAGATGGATTTTTTGTTTGGTTCTGCCCTTTTTGCAAATCTAATTATGATATGGAGACCAGAATTCAAAACACTCTGATAGATTCTGTGCATACTAAGTTAATGACTTATTCTTTACAAGATTTAATTTGTTCTACTTGCCGGCAAATAAAACTGGACAATCTAAGTGAAAGCTGTGAATGTGCTGGAAAATACAATTTGTTATTCCAGTACAAAGAAGTTTATCAATTTTTATCTACTATCTGTAATATAGCCTACCAGTTCAATATGCTTCTACTCCAAGAGCTGTGTCAAAACTATTTGAAAATGAATTACTCCTAATCATTGTGATAGAACTTTTGTTGTTTGTATCCTTCATTAAGAATCTAATGATATCTTACATTTTAGTTCAAACAAATTTTTATTTGATTTTTATCTACATTGTTCCTCCTTAGCACTAAAACCAACGTTAAATCAAGTTCAAACTTTGGTAAACTTTAGAGGTTCGCGAAGCTTCGCATTTTGCGAAGCGAAGCGATAATTACGCGATAATGAACGCGGTAATTCCAATTTTCGCGCTCTTTTGGATACGATGCCGAATGCCTATGCTTGATGGATAATTCGTCCGCGTGAACCGGTTCTTTGCGCATGCACTTGCGGCCGCTCCGCGTTATTTAGCGCCTTTTCTTGAGGACTCTGCCTGGTCAGCGTTCATAAGTAAGTATTTTGTACTGAACTCAAACTGTATGAACATTTGTAACAAATGTTCATCTTATTTGTTCTTATGAGACTTTTTTACTTTGCGTTCTCGAATAAACTTAATAAAGTTTTTTGAAAAGCTTAAATCGATGGTTTTCAATTCATATTTCCCACAATTTTGTAGGTATTGCTATGCTTTACATTAAAATGGATAAAAAAAAAAAAAAAATCAAAAGGAAAATAAAAAGTTAAAACCGTTTTTACTTTTTATCATTCCGTTATAATGAAAGCAAAACCGATGACAAAATTACAACAAAAATGTTAGATCTGCTGGCATTTCAATAAAAATATATTCTTAAAATTTAGGAGAAAAGGAGGGAAATTTTAATGTGTGTATTTTTCATGTATTTCCCGGTGTTCAACGAAATTTACCACCGCCGCACGCTGACAATGAGTCGCGACTCGCTGGAGTGAATGTCACGAAATTCCGCGGGTTGCATCCAGCGTATTTGAAGGTGTTTTTCTTGTCCGCTTCGCTTCGCAGTTGCTTCGCAAATTATGAAGCGTCGCCTTCGCTTTGCTTTGAAAAACGCTGCTTCGCGGATTTCTAGTAAACACCCTGGAAAAATAAAAAAATTAGGATCAAACAAAGTTTTAGCCCCAAGGTTTGCATTAAGTTGCTGTCTGTTTCCTACCAGTTCACTGATATTACATCAGCTTGCTGTATTGGCCCTCTTAGCCCAACATGGTGTCAGTAACACTTTGATACTGAACCCATGTACATTACATGGCATGACGAGACACAACACTACACTGAACAATTGAAAGGATATCTTTAATTTTTCAAAAGTCCATTATTTTTTGTAATTGTAGGGGATGGCTTTTTAATCTCTGAAAATTATTATATTCTTATCAATCAATTGCGAAGTACACTTTAAGTATAAGCTCAATTTACTAACTTTGTTGAGAACTGCTGGAAGATCAGGCGAATCCAGCCGTTTGATAACTCCAAAAGTCAGTTTATTTAGGGTCTAAGCACTCATTTTAAAGTTTGGTCATCAATTTTTTTTCTTTTGGGGATATTAGGGGTACATTTTGAGGCAAATCTCAAGAATGAGCTTCAGAATAGTAACAATTTATTTATGTGACACCTGTATTTGCCAAACTTTTTTCTGTTTGCAAGTTTTCATTTCTTTTTCACAAGAGGAATCAAAACAAAGTATTGATCGAAGCTGATGCCCTCAGTGAGCTCTCTGAAAGTTTTCACCCCAACAGCAAACTAGCATCATTTTAATGAGAGTAAAATGAAGGCATAATCAAAAGTATCATAATATCTGATACTTAATTTTTTTACATCTACGGTCAGTCTCATGTGGAGCCACTATTTTAACTTGGGTCACCAGTGTAGTGGTGCACCCAAGTGTTGCAAGATTACAGGCGTGTTGGTGTCTTTTAGTATTTTTTCACTGACGTGGATTTTATCATATCTCTACATTTTATTTAAATCATGATCAATGATGACTAAATTGAAATATGACAATGTTGTAACAACAACATGAGAACAAAAATTAATACGTTTCTTATCAGCTGAGTTTTTTCATAACCTCCGGTGCATTAATTAGAAAAAGTCGATACACCGAAAAGCGCTGTTTTTATTTCGTTGATCCCTTATTTTATCCCTGCATCCCTTGGGGTTATGGGCCCAGGTCGTTTTTACTTAGTTCTGTGAAGTATTTATCGCAAGTGTAGTTCTTTGAAGTATTTATTGCAAGTGTTAATATGGACCTTAAGTCTAAAAAGAACATTAAACCATTTGATGGTGAAAAGTACAGCATATGGAAACTTCGAATTCGCGGGCATTAACGAAAAAAAATTTAATTGATGTGATTGATGGGAAATCTAGTGAAAATAGTGAATCTAGTGACTGGCAGGCCAAGAATATGCTGGCAAAAGCTATTGTGCTTGAAAATTTGGCAGATTCTCATCTGCATTTCGCAACTCCGGAGCGGACAGCTCGGGAGGTTATAAAAAGTTTAGACGATCTGTTTGAAAGAAAAAGTATTGCCGCTCAAATCGCCGTGAAAAAGCGATTATTTGCTCTGAAGTTCGACTCAGATACTGCTTTGATGAAGCATTTCATTAGATTCGATGATCTGCTCCCCGAACTTCAAGCTGCCGGTGCAGCGTTAGAGGAATCAGATAAGATTGCTCATCTTCTTGTGACCCTCCCCCCGAGCTATAATGGCATAATTACGGCGATTGAAACATTATGTGATGAAAATTTAAGTGTTGCGTTCGTTCAAATTAAATTGTTAGATCACGAACTAAAATTAAAAACTGATAAAGCTGACAATAGCGCGAAAATTCTCCAAGCAAGTGACAGTGCTACCAGTGCTACCAAAGGAAAAAGACAATTCAGAAATTCTAAATTTGTGAAAAACTTTAGACAAAAACCAAAGCAAGCAAATCGAAATAATTTTAAAGCCTGTTATCACTGCGGCAGGAAAAATCATATGATCAAAGATTGTGTCTTTTACAAGAAAACTTTGAAATCAAAAACAACTCATCCTCAAAGCAAATGGAATGAGTTCGTCAATGTTTCTACCGAAAATGAAAAACATCAAAGTATTTTGACTGTCTCAAGTTTTGCATTCATGGCTCAGGAGAACTCGAATAGTTCGGACAGTGATGACAACCTAACCTTCATTCTGGATTCTGGAGCTTCGACTCACATCGTAAAAACAGAGAGTGCATTCAAAAGCTTCGTACATCTGAACCCTCCGATAAAAATATCAGTGGCTAAAAACGGAGCTCATATCTTTGCCTACAAGAAAGGAAATATTCCAGTGAGGATTGAACCAGGATTTGAAGGAGTCCTTAAAGACGTATTGTATTGTCCGGAAGTCCCGTACAATTTGCTCTCTGTAAGAAAAATTCAGGAAGCTGGATTTGATGTGATCTTTAATCAGCAAGGAGTAACAATATCAAAGGGAATTACGGTTGTAATGATCGGTAAGCCATTTAATAATTTATTCTCTGTGAAATTCATGATTGACAAAACAATGGCTTACAGTTATCTTCTGATAAGTACAAATTATGGCATGAACGTTCAGAACACATGAGTAAAGCTAAATTTTTAGAGTTAAAAAGATGCTTATTGATGACGTAGATCAAATTGAGAATGTTATGCCGAGCGAAAATTTATGTGAAGCTTGTATTAGTGGTCAGCAAACAAAATTGCCATTTCAAAATTCTAAAGATAAAAGGTGTGTGCGAAGACGGCTCTTCATCGTACATTCCGACGTATCAGGTCTTATCACTCCTCCAACTCATTTAAATCAAAATTATTTTGTGATTTTTGTAGATGAATTCACGCATTATTGCGTCACATACCTGATTCAACACAAATCAGATGTTTTCTCTGTTTTTAAAGATTTTGTTGCAAAGAGTGAAGCACATTTTAACTTAAAATTAGTTAATCTATTTTGCGATAATGGTGGCGAATATTTTTCCAGTGAGATGAAACAGTTTTGTGTGCAAAGAGGCATCACGTATCACCCTACGATCCCGCGAACCCCACAGCAAAATGGAGTGTCAGCGCGTATGATAAGATCGATTACAGAGCGAGCTTGTGCAATGCTTAGTGGAGCCAAGTTGAACTTAGTATTTTGGGGAGAGGCTGTTCTTACAGCAACATATATTTTAAACTTATCGCCAACGAGGGCCTTGAGTTCAGCTGTGACTCCATACAGGGTGTACCAAAAGTCCGTCCCACCCCTGCTAACTTTTGAACGAATTGAGCTAGGGTAATGAAACTTTGGGAATGTTCCTATCTCAAAGGGGACCATCTTTTGGGGGGGTCAAAATTTTGGTTCCCCCTCAGGGGGGGCGCGGGGGGCCCCAACTTTTTTTTTCAAATGGCAACCCCTATCTTGTGATACCTCATTCGAAAGAGCATAAAAAACTAAGAATTTAAGTAAAAATTGCAGAAATCACTTCGCTGTAATTTTAAGGGGGGGCTCGGACCCCCAAATACGTCAATTCAAAGGTCATTCAATTTTCCCGCGAAATAAGCCAATTTCCCCTAGATTTGCCTCCACATTATCTCAGTAAGGTCAAAGTTAGTTCAACATTACGTTGGCAAGTCCCCAAATTTCGGGAAAAGTTACAAAAAAACGAAATTTAAGGTGATTAAATTTGACCGTTTAAATTTCGTTTTTTTGTAACTTTTCCCGAAATTTTGGGGACTTGCCAACGTAATGTTGAACTAACTTTGACCTTACTGAGATAATGTGGAGGCAAATCTAGGGGAAATTGGCTTATTTCGCGGGAAAATTGAATGACCTTTGAATTGACGTATTTGGGGGTCCGAGCCCCCCCTTAAAATTACAGCGAAGTGATTTCTGCAATTTTTACTTAAAAGCGGACACAATTTGGTAAATTTTCCCGTTTTATTTTTTTCTCTACGATAATTTGAACCGGAGTTATGATTTTTTGAAAATAGGTCAAATTTGACCTTTGACCTATCATAACTCGGTCAAAATTTAAGATATTGATCTGCGGTTTGCGCCAAAATTCTTAGTTTTTTATGCTCTATCGAATGAGGTATCACAAGATAGGGGTTGCCATTTGAAAAAAAAAGTTGGGGGCCCCCCGCGCCCCACCTGAGGGGGAACCAAAATTTTGACCCCCCCCCCCCCAAAAGATGGTCCCCTTTGAGATAGGAACATTCCCAAAGTTTCATTACCCTAGCTTAATTCGTTCAAAAGTTAGCAGGGGTGGGACAGACTTTTGGTACACCCTGTATGAAGCATGGCACAATAAAAAGCTGCAAATAAAATTTCTGAAAGTTTTTGTATCTACAGTCTATGCTCATAACTACACAAAAAAAAGGAAATTTGATGAAAAATCCTTTAAAGGCATTTTAGTTGGTTATGAACCAAATGGATATAAAGTGTGGGATCAGAGGAGAAAATATTTGTCAGAGTTAGAAATGTAATTGTCGATGAAACAAATTACTTAGAATCCAGACCTACGTTAAAGTGCTCTGTGGTTACAGAGAGTGAGAAAATAATTGATGCATCTGACTGTACGTCAAAATCAGAACTGAGAACTCAAGAGGGAACTGATGCATCTGACTGTGCGTCAACATCAGAACTGAGAAGTCAAGAGGGAACTGATGTATCTGACTGTAAGTCAAAATCAGACCTTCATAAAGAACTTGAAATAAAGAAAAGCGCAGAACAGGATCATAACTCTAGTAAAGACAAATAGGGTGATGCGAAGATCCATGTAGAGACGGATAAAAACTGTGTTTTGAAGCCCCAAAATCATCAGAGTGAGTTTTTTGGGTCAAGGAGGAGTGATCTAAATGGACTTGATGAATTCATTTTAGATGCACAATCCATTGACTGTGATGTACCCAAGACTTTAAATGAAGTTGAGAATAGAGCTGATAAAATTCAATGGCAACAGGCTATTAAAGAGGAGCTTGACTCTCTCGCATTCAACAAAACTTGGAGTCTTGTACCAAAGCCTGAGGATAAAAATATTGTTGATTGTAAATGGATTTTTACAATTAAGAAGGATGAATTTGGGAAACCTAAAAAACATAAAGCGCGGTTAGTTGCTCGTGGATTCAGTCAAAAATATGCTGAAGACTATGATGAAGCTTTTGCTCCTGTCACTCTAATAGCAAGTTTCAGAATTCTGGTGGCTTTTGCCAACCAATTTGATTTGCTAATTCACCAAATGGATGTGAAAACAGCTTTTCTAAATGGAAATTTGAGAGAGGAAATTTATATGAGAATTCCTGAGGGAGTTGTAAGTAATGGTAATCAAGTGTGCAAGCTCAATAAATCTTTGTACGGTCTAAAACAAGCCGCTAGATGTTGGTTTGAGACTTTTGATGTGAAGCTCATTAAAGCAGGGTTTAAAACTTCACCTGCTGATCGGTGTGTTTATTTTTTGGACAAAGTAAGTGTTGATAAAAACATTTATGTTGTTCTGTACGTTGACGATGTCGTAATTATTTGCAAAGATATGGAAACAATGAATAATTTTAAACGATATTTGATGAGTGAATTTCGTATGGTGGACCTTGGAAATATTAGATTATTTCTGGGAATTAGAGTTGAGAGATGCGACGGGATTTTAACTTTGAGTCAATGTGCTTATATTGATACAGTTTTGAAGAAGTTTAATATGGCTGATTGTAGTGCTGTTGACACTCCACTTCCAAGTAAATTAGATTTTGTAGAACTTAATTCAGTTGAAGGGAACGACGCGCCCTCTCAGAACCTCATTGGGTGTTTGATGTACATAATGATATGCACAAGACCTGATTTGTGCGCTGCAATAAGTATTTTATGCAGATATACAAGCAAGAACAATAAGATCTCGTGGCAATACTTGAAAAGGGTGTTACGATACTTAAAAGGCTCGAGGAATATGAAACTGACCTATACAAAGAAACTTATATTTACTTTATCTTGAGTGGTCACTGTGATTCTGATTGGGCAACAGATGAAAACGATAGAAAGAGCACGACAGGCTTCCTATTTCAATTATTTGAAAACTGTACCATTTGTTGGAATACCAAAAAGCAAAACTCTGTGGCTGCCTCATCCACTGAAGCAGAGTATATGGCGCTTTTTGAAGCTGTCAGGGAAGCTCTATGGTTGAAATCGTTTCTGAGTAGTATTAATATGACTGCAATAACTCCCATTTCAATTTATGAAGACAACACCGGTTGCATAAGTATTGCGAAGAATCCAAGTAGCCACAAAAGATCAAAACACATAGATGTAAAGTATCATTTTTCTAGAGAACAGGTAGAAAAAGGGCTAATTAATGTGAAATATGTTCCAACAGGTGATCAGCTAGCCGATTTATTGACCAAACAGTTATCCACCACAAAATTCAAGAAATTAAGACCAGGTCTGGGTCTTCAAAATTAGCAAAATTAGAAATTAGCAAGTCAAAATTCAAGTGGATTCGTCAAAATTCAAGTGAACTTGTCAAAATTCAAGTGGACTCAGATTCAAAATTCTAAAATTGTTAAAAATTCAAGCCAAAATTTTTCATAATTCAAGTCAAAATTCTAAATTTGTTTGCAATTTTTTCGGTCTGGTGAGGTTTTTCTGGGTTTCCCTCATCCGTTGCAACAAATGTTGGACCTGCATGTTTTCCCAGTGAGCATCTATTAACAATGATATTAATTTTTAAGGAAGCGAATTGAAATATGACAATGTTGTAACAACAACATGAGAACAAAAATTAATACGTGTCTTATCAGCTGAGGTTTTTCACAACCTCCGGTGCATTAATTAGAAAAAGTCGATACACCGAAAAGCGCTGTTTTTATTTCGTTGATCCCTTATTTTACCCCTGTATCCCTACGGACTATTCTGCTTCATCCTCAGTCGGTCATGCCTCTTCATTTCAATTGCTATTCATCCTTTTTTGTGAGCTGCTCAAAAATCCTTGAAAATATCTTGCAATTCAGTAGACAGTAGCTACTTAGGTATGAGTAGGTGATCAGATGTACAACAGGAACATAGCAACGAATTTCACAAGCAGAAATCAGGAAATCAATGGAGGTCATGAAATTTGAGCAAAAATTCCACAAACAGATCTTAAAAAAATATGTACGGCTATAAACGTTTCTCGCAGGGACTGGCTCACATCTAAAGGGGTAGAGGGTAGACCCTTGGCCGGTCAAGGGGGCGGAATATGATATGCACCCCCTACGTGGAGAGGGGTCCAGTAAATTTTGGAAAATCAATAATAGACAAACAATGCGCCAAAACGTGATATACCGCGATGTGCGCATTTCCATTTTCGTACATAGTCTTTTCGCCCTACTTGGAAAGCAAAAAAATCGTACTTTGAAAATTTCTATAACATTTCTGTTATTACCACGTGAAAGAACGCAAAAAGTTGAGTTAATTACCATAATTTCAGATGTCTAGATGCATTCCATCATGCCTTCGGAGCCTTTCGCTTTATTGGAATTTGCAATCCTTCAAGAGATCTCGTACGTGCCAAGTTCCAGAATTTGCCAGAATTGTGGCATATTTTCCATTAAGATATGACCCAAAAAAACCATATCTTATCTAAGAACAGCCGAAGCCAGAATTCACTGTTCATCCAAAGAATTTGCTGAAGCTCATTAATTTCCTTAAGAAACGTGTATAATGAGCACACTGCAATAGTAATGAAAGGAAATAAGACCTGTCCTATGTAGGTCTTTGGGAGATTGTACCCTCTACAATTTTTTCCCTATTTTAGAAGACTCAAAATATGATTAGTTCCTCATTTTTTATTTGGAAGTTGCCGAATATTTATTTTCTTCAAAATGCCAATAAAAACCTCAGTACTTTGTAATCATAATTTGATTCATATCAATCGCTCTATCTCTTTTACATTAGCTAAATGGTACATTTGATACCTAAGAAAATTCACGGTAAAAAAGTATTTTTTTTATTACTGTATCTCAATTGACATTAGCTTCAAATTCAAAATTTGTAAAATTCGTTTTTTCAAGGAGGGTTTGATTCATAATAATGCCTTGACCCAACCCTATATCGACGGTGAAACTACTAAACCACGTATCTCGGTTTGCGACGTCGCAGACTTCCTGTCATACTTTNATTAGCTAAATGGTACATTTGATACCTAAGAAAATTCACGGTAAAAAAGTATTTTTTTTATTACTGTATCTCAATTGACATTAGCTTCAAATTCAAAATTTGTAAAATTCGTTTTTTCAAGGAGGGTTTGATTCATAATAATGCCTTGACCCAACCCTATATCGACACCTAAATACATGGCTGTGAAAGCTTAGAATGCAATTTTCTCAATACTTAAGACTAATGCTATAAGCATATACTCTTTATACATATTTATTTGTGTATCANCGGAGAAAATTCCGTGAAAATTTCAAGGAATGATATTGATTTGGTCTACTTCAAAAAATCAAATGTGAGCGTAGATTTTTAAACACCGCAAACGAGATACGTGGTTTGGTAGTTTCACCGTCGATATGCTGTATCGACACCTAAATACATGGCTGTGAAAGCTTAGAATGCAATTTTCTCAATACTTAAGACTAATGCTATAAGCATATACTCTTTATACATATTTATTTGTGTATCAAAGAAAAGCGGAGTTATTCTGAGTAGTAATGATGTAAATCAAACTCCAATCAATTCAATTTTCCAAGGCCTCGTCTCCGGGGTATATTTTCCTGTAATTCAGTGCCATGAAAAGTTGCCTTAAAGAATGTGAAAGCCCTTTGGAGAATGTAGCAGCAAGAAGTCGCCAAAGTCTGTTGTGAGCAGTTAAATGCTATCTGTGGTGACAAGGCCCATCAATTCAAAGGCAGGGTTATGCCTTTCATTTACGAAAGAGCTTGATTTGATGGATGTTAGACACTTCCTTCTGTCAAGGGATAGGAGAAAAAATATTAAGGAAAAAAATTTGGATTCCAAGTTTTACTTCTTTTTTTATTAAAAATGATGAATTTGCAAAATAATACAGAAGAAAAGGACAAAGTACAAATTAAAGTCCTATGATGAGGGGAAAACATGTAAAGAAGCATTGTTAACTAATAAATCCTGTCAGCCAGTAAATTAGTTGAAGAGCCAATCTCATGATTGAACATTTCAAACTTTATGTTTTGAATAGATTACAGTAAAAGGGACTATTTCTTATCCTTTCCCTCACTTTTATTCATGTCAAGGTCTAGATGAGACCTACATCAAAGAACTCTGGAGTGAGAAATTAACTTTAATAGCAACAGCCATCGATTTTAAGGCATAAAAGGATGAGTCACCGAGAAAATTAACTTTAAACTCAACTGAGCACAATGAAACAAACAATTAGAAATTTAGGAGCAGTAAATTTACTCGAGTTCTTTTGTGTTCTTCTTGTTGTGACAGAAAAAAAATTGGTGGTATTATTAACACTAGAACTAATAAGATCCAACCTAAATTAAAACAAAATAGAAAAGAAAAGTTACAATAAAAGAGGAAAGCAACATGTTGACTGCCAACGTTTGTACTGTATCCATCCTTTCAACTATGCTTTGGGTTCATAGGTACCATGTTTGCTAGAGAGGAATATCTCCCAAGAATCGTCACGGCTAACTGTTACATTGTCAGACCCAGCACAAGATTCTTTTTGGAGTTTCACTTTTATTTTTTTTATTTTCATTTTCTACTTTTTTAAACTCAATTTCTGAACTTCTTCTGAAAGGCAGAAGCTGGAGAGCCTTTTAGCATTAGGCATACAGGATTGATGAAGGCAGTGAACTTCATGAAAGAAAAATAGAAGATGAGAGGGCTAAAAATAATGATGATAAATAAAAAATTAGATTCAAGTTCATTTTGCTTTACATATATAACAATTCTGATGAGAGGAATACGTGCATTTTGTTAACAAAACGATGCAGGAAAAAACCTTAGGGCGAGTTTAATGCAATAACAGAAATTTTACCAAAAGGAAAAATCAAACTGAATTGACCCAATCCAGAGAAAGAAAAAAATAGATGAATTCCACACAATATTCAGAAGTTATGTTCATGAACTATTGTTGAATTTCGAAAACTTCCATTTCTTTGCATCCTCAACCTCAACGATTACCTGAAAACAAATTGACTTACTCATTAATCTGAACTTAAAAAAATAAAGGGTGGGGGGAGGGGGTTTCAAGGGACTAATATTATGAAATTTCCATTAATTCACTCTGTTCATGGAAACGCATGGGATCAGTCTCCTTTAATCATAATTATCATATCTTATGTACAAAAACCAGCATGGTCTCTTAAGGCGTCTCCTTTTTTTTAAATGACCTGCACATCCACCGCGGGAAGTAAAGTGTATTACCCTAAAAGGGAGCAGGAATTTTGGAGTAACAGGTTTTTAATTCTGCCTAACACTCAAATAAAGGCGCATTTATCTCCACCTTTAATCTTGAGTTAGTAGGTCGCACAGCGGTGGTTATCTTGATCTGACAGAGCGATGTGGGAAAAAAACAGCTGTCTAAGAAGTGTCTTCCCGTAACCCTCTGTGTGACAATAGTCTGCTCAAATACTTTCTTTCAGTGACCCACTATGCGACAGGACATTTATCCAAGATATTTTTGCCTCTGACCTTGTGCCACAAACAGTCCAAAAAATTCTGGCTCTAGACCCACTGGGCTAGACCCACTCCCACCCGCTCCCCTTATGCCACGCACCTCTCGTCTAAGACTTTGAAAACTCGTCATTTTTAAACAGCTCAGCCAATTTTGCTTAAATTCATTACCAGCCTAGAACTAGGTAAGATATTCCTCCTGTAAAAATTTCGGTGGAAAATCTTCTTTACATCGCAAAAAGTTTCACCTGGAAAACTTTTAAAATGAGGAAAATATAACACAGCAAAAATCGGCAACAGCGCGATGAGTCGGAAATACACACACACACACCCTTACATGCAAACACACACCCTTACACCAACACACACACGCGCGCGCGCAGGTCTGACGCGATGGTCGGAATACGCGCCGGTAGATCCTCGCGAAGCCGAGCGAGAGCGCCGCCATTCTCCGCAATCGAATGAAGTAGTCAGTTGATCCCGCAACTTGAGCCCGAGACCGCCCGCGCCCAATCACCAACGATCTAGAAACTATAGATAAGGGGTTCCTATGCTACGCCAACAGTGAAATTTGTAACACACCAGGAGCAACAATTAGGTTAGGACGAAGATAGTCGGTTTCTATAGCTTCTTATGGGACTGTTGCTGAATACGGACTTGTATCAAAAGATCTAACTATTTGAAAATCTGTGTCCTGATATGGAACTTAGCTATTCATCAAGTGCGTTTACGATGAAAATTTCAATGCTAAATCTAACCTCGAGATTTATTCATTCTAAAATCTCCCGTAAGATTCCATGTATTTGAGGTTATGACAAAGATAGCAATCGGCCATTTCCACTCCCCGCCCGCCTATCGAACAACCGCTTCATGTGTGTTACGTTTTTTCGTAGGCCACCACCAATCTATAGTTTCTATATCGTTGCCAATCACACGAAAAATCGGAAAAATACCTAACCAGCACCAAAATTCCCTGACTTTTCCCGGTTAGTTTTTTTCCCTGACTTTTCCCGGTCGCCAACAACCCTGTACCTACATAGAGGAGGTAATGGTTATTACAAAGGAATTTTGATTTCCCTTCAACTCCCGTAAAACCTCAGTATTGGAAATGCCAAAATATATCAAAGTAAATTTTAGACTGAGTCTCCTTCTTTTCCATTACTTTTACCCATTCTGAAAACGTGATGGAGTATAAATCATCTTTAGTCCAGTCATAAGGTGCTTTAAAGCTGTTTTGAGAGCTGACTTTTTTTCCTTACTGAATATCTGAAACAGCAAGGGTCCTGAACGAGAATCCTACAGGCCACCCAACCTTTCACAAACCATTTGAACCCATTCCTCCCAAAACTTCCACGGGGAAAATTTACTCATTTCTCCCGGTTTTTGGGTAAAATAATGGAAATTGTTGATATTCCCACCATTTTAGTGAAACTTACTTGATTGTGAATAAAATTGATGTCATTTCCAACCTAACCTGAAATTCGTAAGATAAGAAATGTCCCAGAATCCAAACGTAAACAAACAGTTTGTTCAGATGTCTCCATGAATTGCACATAAATAAATGAAATTAAAAAAAAATGCTCCATTATGAGAGGATTCAATCGAAAGACATGGGTCAAATATTCTAGTTCAATTTTGCAACAAAAAAAGCCCTTGTTTTAGAGTTCAACGAAAGAGGCAATAGATCAAAATGTAGAAAAGAGAAAAAATCGAGAGATTTTGGAGGAAATGAAAATAAAAAGGGAGAGATACAATACAACTAGGGAAAGAGGAAGCAGATCAGAAAAGGTGTAAGTTACGTAGGCTCACCATGATTATAATTGATAACAGCTAACAACTTTCTCTTTAGGATTCCATTTTCTTTTTACCTTGAGGCGTATTTGAAGCCAACATTGACTCTTCCATGACATTTTTATAAGCCTGGTGTTTGGCTGCTGCGGCAGCTGCAACGGCTGATGCTGCCGCTGCAGCGCTTATGCCAGCACCTGCACTTGTGCTCACTGACGAACCAGTAGGATTCTTCTGTTTTAACATTGTCCAGTCGAATAAGTAATCAAACTGATGATTCAGCGTTCGGAACAAGATACGGAATAATTGCCTCAAGTACATATAGTCAGGAGCTTCTTCAAAACGAAGGCCTCTACAGTAGTTCAAATACATGGCAAATTCTGCAGGGAATCCCTGAAAAATTTGGAAAACAAAAACAAACATTATACAAATACCAAATGTAGTATCAAACTATTAAAATTTGTTGTTGTGTCACTCATGCTGAAAAACTGAGTGTCGTAGCAGTATAATTTTCAGACATGAAACTTAAGAAAAACTTGAAATCAAATTTTAAAGTGTAAAATTTAGTCCATTGAACCAAAATTTTTAGGTGGATTTCGAGGAAATATCTACCCATTGCAGACGGTACGACCTCGTAATTTTCGCCCAAAGAGCATCGATCCTGAGGCCCTGAGTTGAAAAATGTAGCTCATAAAAAAAGTACGATATATATTTATAATTTTTGGAACTTCTTGGCTTTAATTTTCCTGTGAAATGGTGCGGACCCAGCACCATTTCTCCACCTTACTACATACAGTACGGGCCCCTTCTTAGTGTATGATTTCTCTCATTTGTACGCACAGTTTGGGGATATGTGTTTTTTCCCGTTCGGGAGCGGGCAGTTGTGTCTAGATGCGTTCGCATCTCCAACCAGCCTGGTAATCAATTTTTGGGTTTTCCTTGTTTTGTTATGAAAGTTGTTCAACAGCAACGGTATATGGCGCGAGGATCACTTTAGTGTCACGCCTTGGGTCATATCCATCATGACGGCGTTTTTGTTACGTTGGGTTCACTGACGAGTGTAATCTGCTGGTGAGGCCTAAAAAGACCCGAACTGGTATAGATGTCTCGCCATGACTCCAACTTATTATTCCAATGCAAACTGCCTGAGCTAAACACTCTCCCCCCCCCCTCAGTTTTGTACTGGTACTCATTTGAGTTAAAAAAAATGTATTTTTGACTCTAATTATAATTATTAAAACTTTTTGGCTTTGATTTCCCCGGGAAATGGTGTGGACCCAGCACCATTTCTCTACCTTGTTACATACAGATCGGGCCACTTCTTAGTGTTTGTGTTCTCTCATTTATGTATTTATATATATATATACCTGGGATCTTGCGCACCTTTACGACCGTTTTTCCCCGGAACTATCGATACGATCAGAACGAAACTAAGCATGATTCTTCACTACTATGGGGTCTACATCAAGTTTCACTTTTGGTGAAAATCGGCCTATCTCTTGGTTCAGTAACATCAAGGTCATTGGGGGATGATTTTTTGAACTCGTCCGATCTTAGTCGGTGCTACAACCTATATTCACCCACCCTCTGAAACCACCCCTTATCCAGAAAATCTCAAGTCCATAGAGAAACCAAGTAACAAGAGATATTGCTAAATTTCATTGAAAAAAATACTTTTTTTACAGGAGAGTAATTGTACATATTCTTCCGAAAATTGGAAGGGATTTGCTTCACATGACGAAGGAAATCCCCTTTTATTTTTAAGAGAATTTACATTACCGTTCTCCCATATAAAAACAAAACTCCCAATGAAATTTGGCAAAGACCAATGTGACTGGGTTCTGTTCCTTTCTGCTTGATTCAGACTAAGTGTGACAAAATTTTGATCAAATTTGGGGATGTAAAATAGAATATGTTTTTTAAAAATGTTCAGTCAAAATATGAAAATTTAGCATTATTTTTAAAATCCTCTTGAAATGTAGATAGGATGAGACTTTTATATAAGTTAACAGAGATGGATTTATTAATGAAATAGGGTATGCATAAAATAACATGGGTCCACTTCAAAAAATGTTGAAAAGCTTCGAGAATCAATGCAAGCAAGAGCTATGGAAGGAATAAAAATTCCCTGTTGAAGCTTTTTTAATTTTATTCATATTTCGTAACGTTTTAGAGAGCGTGCTCAAACTTGATCACATTTAAAAGAGCTGTGCATACACATAGGAATTTTCATGAAAGAACCACACACATTCCAAACGGTGTACTGGCATACTATGAAAACAAATAGTGCCCTGCCTGGTGGAAATACCCTTTCTGCCATACTCGCAACTTAGGCAATAGTTCTAGGTATTAATGAAATCGAGTAATTAGAAAATCTGAGGCAAAAGGCATGTCTTTGTCCCGAGACCAAGGCAGAAACAGTGGACCAGACGTAACTGCTGCGCAAGAATAAATGATACTTGACCTAAATTCTGAAGTGGCTCAAAATAGAATTCAGGGATGTCTCTGGGATGCTGAGCATGAATTTGAAGTCAGATTCATTTAAAATTTGCAAAAAACATGACATTTCAAGACCATAATACCTCCTTTTGATGTGCAATATGGGAATGGTTAAGCACCAGTGACAGAAAATCGTTCAGAGACAGAATTAACTCCTTTAAAAAGGACAAGGGGTTGAAAAGTGTTGCGTATCTTTTTGCATAGGGGTACTGATATATTGACAGGAATAAGAATTTCTATTATCAATTGGTCTTTACAAGAAACAAATTTTGTAACAAAAGGATCTGTTCACACAAACGAAGTTTAATTGCAATGGATTTTCCAAGTAGAAAGACTTGATCATATGTATTGGTGTGTCCACAAAGGCAAATCGTTACAATGAACATTGTTAACGGCCATCTATTGCCAAAAAGTTCTATTTTAAGTCTTATCTTATCTGATATGCTATATTATGAAAGCTCAACCGTTTTATGTGCGTTTGTCGCTATATGCTACATAATTGATTTGGTTAATGAATTAACCGATTAGAAAATGTCATGGGAAAAATTAGGATGACGTCACCGATGATGTCATCATGAAAAGGCAACAAATTTTACTTCAGTTGAAAAATTTTCAGGGTCTAAAGCTCATTGAAGACCTCTAATGCCCGCAATTTTCAATTCTTCAGAGAGTAGACATCATTACAAACATTAGAAATTAGGGAGGGTTGAATTACATCAGTCCTTGATCTGGTTTCTTTAACCTCCGCGAGTATGATAAGATCAAGAAAAGTTCTTCTATTTCCAGCTCAAAAAAAGTCAATACTGAAGGGAGAACTTTTGGGCACTGGTATGCACCTTAGCAAATGAAAAAAATTGCGCAAGTGCTTCAAGCCACATCACCATTCAAAGAGAGCTTCCCTTTCTCTATCAGTGTTCCTGAGCAAAAGTAGAATGAAATTTGATTGTACATTAACACTAAGCTCCATTTTGAAGCTACATACTTCTATCGCTCAAACAAGTTCTGGCTTGGATACCCCTCGGAGGAAGGCAGTGGGGACGTCCCATGAAAGGATGGGAGTATGACGTCGACAAGGAGATTTTAAGATGTCAGTTGACCTATGATCTTTGGGAGGACAGATACAAGTAGCATTTGGGTGTCACAGAGCGTCTGAGAGTACTGCAGGAGCAATAGGTATGTGTGTGTGCTTGCACTGATTTTTTAAACGAAGACAGATGGTATAAGCTAATTTTCTGCAGTGATCCAACTGACAAAGCTTCAACTGAAGACGCATTCATCTTCTTGAGCAACATAATGGCAAAACTCAAAATGTAATTCGCAATTGACACAAATTAAGTAATAAAATAAAAATAATACCCGGCATAAAATTTCAACGGGTGTAGACATTTTCTTTTCACTAATTTTTTCATACTTCTGTTTCTTGGTGGCAGCCTGAAATGGAACAAGAAAAACAAGGCTAGCATTAAATACATGAGTGATTGGGGAAATAAAATTTATTGTAGGAAAATTAACTTTAAAAACATGAAAGGTATGCTCAATACTGTAATGTAGCATGACGTCCAGGATATAGGACTCTATGCTTACTTTACCATTAAACACATTTTTTCTGCAAGATAAATACCAGCATGGCAGTTAACATCTTGAAGTCTGAAAATATGTTGATGTTTGATGAGCATACTGTCAAAATACTTACTAAAACTACTGCACTTATTTACAGACAAAAACAACGATTTTCTAAATTAATAAAGCTTAACTAGGTTAAATAAGATTAAGGTAGATTTGTTAGGTAAGATTAGGTTAGGTAAAGTTAGATTAGGTTCGATGTGTTGGGTTAGGCAAGGTCAAGCTAGATTTGGTTGGGTTGGGTTAGGTGAAGTTAGGTCATATTACTTTTCCAGGATTATAAGCCAAATTATTTTAGGTTCATTCCCTGGATCCATTCCAACATTGTCAGAATTGGTGCAGCAATTTGGTCTGTGTTCGAGAGTGACCCGACTTAATTTTCAGATTAAGAGACTGGCGTAAGTTTATGGTTGGCTATACCTTCTATTTTAGACAGTGTTCATAGTTGCCGTGGGTAAAAGACTTAAGCCGGCAGTAGTTATGGCCACCCCTGATTATATGAAAAATACGAAATGTAGCCGCCGCTAAATTGCTTTGTTTTATGAGTCTTCTCCTATGCTTAAATTCAATGAGATGTGCCTCTTTTCTTGGCCTATACAAGTCTGAATTCCAAAAATTTTATTGGGTAGTATAGACCTACCTTCAAACCTTGCCAGGGTAAACTGCCTCTGTTGAAATACATCATGACGTAGCCTAGCGATTCCATATCATCACGCCGGCTGCAATCAGATAAAATGGAAAATTTTATATCAAAGTTTACTGATCATTTCAGATTGATTCACCAAATTTAACTGCTGTAATATATAAATAATAACAACTTCCTTCCATTAACATAAGAAAACATCTAATGTCCATTTTTTTCAATTTCCAAAGAACTGTATAAGCTTCTTAATCATACGATAAAAAACAATCTAGAAGTAAATTATTACAGTGAAAGATTGTAGAAAGCAATTCATGTTTGTTTCTAGCTAAAAAAAATTGCAGATACTAAGTAATTATTCTAAAACCATTTCATACATGTAAGGCTTTAGCACATGAGTTATTAAAATACCTAACAAAGGGAACATATGGACCTGCAGCCTTTCATTGGGCTGGTATATTTTCCACAGACTGTTGGGACCAATTTTGCCCTACAACGGGTGGCTTCGATTGAGCAGCCACTGATACCGCTTTGACATACATGCACAAGCGGCCGACTCATCACTGCGAGGTCCAGTGTTCACGCTCAACATTAGTGACACAATTTTCACTTTCCACATAAGAACTAACACTTCCCATTTTACGCTTCCTCAATATTTTCAAGGACATTGAATTATTCCCCTCCCTTCCTATTTTCATGTCCCGATTTCTTAAACTAGAAACCTAGGCGGTTGCCTATGGGAAGCTTATTTTGGTGGGGTGAAGAGAAAAAAAGTGCTGTGATAGTTAGGCCGGTAGGAGTTGACAAAAGAACAATTGACCAATTTGTTAAACCATCAGCATAAACTGGGATATCAGTCTTTGACAATTTTCCATAAGAAGCCCCTCCCGCCCCTTTTGCGGATAACTTAGCCCCCTGGAACTATTGTAAGGGTAGCAAAATTCTAGCTGCTTCAGAGCAGTATAAAGTCAAAGCCCAATCATGCCCTTTATGTGGACATACAAATTTTTCACAAATGTTAGCACAAATTGACAATCTACGACACTTAGCTAAAATGAATAAGTACCTGAATGAATGAAGTAACAAAACAAAGCTACAGTTTTTAAAAATTGAGGGAATGGAGGAGAGGCAAAGCTCCAACTAATGGCACATTTGGAAAAGAATTGGAGAACAAAAATTTGTTATTTGGACCAGTAGAACATGCGCTTGCAGTCTGGATGCTTAAAGAAAGGCCTTCCAGGAGTCCAATAGGTTATGATCCAATTGAAGGCTTCGGTGCATTACTAAGACAACAGAGTCATGTTTCCTGATAAATTCTGTTTCAGCCAGAGGTCTGCAACCGGGACCAATCCACATGGGATAGGGTCAATCATTATGGGGTACACATGGCATTTCCTGCAATAATCTTGGATCATTCCATCCTTCTTATCGATTTATAATACAGTTCTCCGGAATGACATCTATGGCTGACATGATGAGCGGACTGATTGATTACACTGATCAACATGGGTCGGTTTGCCGAAAAAGAAGGAACTGAGTCTACATTGTTTTTTCAGGCTGATCCCAAAAATTACCTTCTTTTTATCTGGGTCAGGTACGTATTTCCTGCAGAAATCTAACTGCTCTGAGTGAAATTCAATTTTCTGGAAAATCTGCGTATGATGGAGAAATATTCAGATCATTTTCACTTTCAGTAGTCAAAAAAAACATTGTACAGCATGTAATTTGTGCCTGGCAAGTTCTTCTCTTTTGATGAGGTTTTTCTGCTCGAATGCTCCCAATCATTCATCACCATGTTACGCTTATCCAACTGTTCAGCGTCTGGGAGGACGGGAAAATATTTTCCCAAGTGTTTAGTGAGAATCTCCTAACCTAGGTAATTTGTGCTGCTGAGGCCAAAAATGACTTTACTTATTTTCCAGTATCTTTGGAAAATCGAGTTTTAAAAATAAAAAGAAGGAGTTTCCAAGGAAGAAAAATGCATTTCTTGAAAAACTTAATTTTCCGATGATCCCTCAGTGCTACAGAAAAATAAGGCTATTTTCGGCAAGAGGAAAAAATAAAGGAATCTTTCCGACTGGCGACTTGAACGGTCAACCGTTGGAATTCGGCGGTTTACCCCGAATCTCCACCGCGGCGGTGCATGTTCGGGGATCGAGCATCTCAACGTTTTCATGTAAACAACTAAAGATGGCGGCGCATATTGCGCGGGTGTTTTGAATTTACGGATCGCAGGCAAGATCCACACCTTCAGCGGACTTGAAGCAACCACGTACTTAATTAACATTTACATTTAAATGTTTTTTCAAGGTAATATTAATTCTTGATAGTCGAATGAAGGAAGTTTTCTCCCGTTAGGACAAAAGCTGCAATGTCGCCGTTTATCATTGCATTATAGGAGAGAAAAAGTAGCAGCCAGAAGTATGAGTCATGAGCGACCATCCTCAGCATCCATTCCTTCTTTTCAGAGATTTTTTGTCATCACTTGTCAGAGATGCAAAATGAAATTTAATATGATATGAAAGTTCACAGATTTCTGAGGAGGAGTGTACACCACCCGTAAAATTATCTTAAAATAAAATTAAGAGTTTGACTCTCATTTTATTAAATATTGAGATTTTACTGATTCTACGCATTCCTCGGCCTACTGAGCCTATTGCAGAAGTTCCACTTTCATGAAATTTTACCTTCTATGAAATTGCATGCAATTTTGCATCTCTGTTCACTATGGAGCCCATTCAGCAGGCTATCAAGACTGAGGCTGCTTTAAAAATGTAAATGGTGCAAGCAAGAAAAGGGTTGGGCCTCTAGGAGGAACATATTTTTTCAAATTAAAATTTATCACAAGGGTGAAAATTCTCACACATCGGGCAAATAGGGATTGTCCCCTCCCCCTTATTCAGTGAGAGTACTAAAATTTTTCTGGGACAATTTTGGTCAATTTCACTGTGAAGTGTGAGTGTCAGCAGCGCCCAACTCCCTCCCCGCAGGCACAAGACCTCTCCAATTAGATTCCCCTGAAATAGCACAGCTACATTTAATCATTCGATCTAATCTTCCAAATCTACGTTTAGTTGTACGTTTATGGTAGACTTCAGACTTCGGTACTTGTCTGTTACGCATTTGCAAACATTTGTTTTTTTTTGTAACTGTCTTCAAAACACCAGCGTCATTGTCCGGTGGATTTTCCATCAGAGTCTACACACTTAGACTCATCACTGACCAATTTCTCTGGAATATCTAGCATAAATGCTTAAAATGTAGATTTCACTTTGCAGATAAAGTAGCTGGGGGCTTAAGAAAAAAATTTTCACTTATATTAACTTCTGTTAGGAGTCGATTGCCTGCTTTAATTCGGGTTTAAGATCTTTACAAATCGAATATTATTGTAAGATTTCACAAGAAAACACATTGGACGTTCAGCCTAATTGGCTGCTGACCTTAAAAGAAGCATGTGGACTTTAGGTCAGGCTGTGCTATGAGAGGCTGCGCAACAGAATCAAATGATTCTCTTGAGATAAATTCCTTACTTCAGAACTAGAAAAGCCATTGATTCAGCTTTGTTCTGACCCCAACACGAGTAAAACAATCAGCCCAACAGGCAGCAAGCGTCAAGAGATATTTATGCATTTCTCCTCTCTGTTATTTGCACTTGGTCTGGAAAATACTGAAATAATGGTTTATACTGCTGAGAGCAATGGAAGTTGTTGGATGTTCGATGTCTTTTGCAAATATTGACACATTACGGCAAGAGGCTGGTGTTACCTTTGATGCATCAACCAAGAGGTATCACAAACAACTCCAAAGTTAAAAGTTACAAGATCAAGCAGCGCTACTACATTTAAATTTGAGAATACTAGATATTCATACCAATTAATCAGAAACGTTTGGAGACTTTTAGACGTAAATTCCGGTGGAAAACCCACTTCATGAAGACATTAGAACAATGAACAAGTGGAGTGAAACAGTTGCAAAAATTAAACAAATACTTACGTTCGCGTAATGGTGAGCTTAGTTTATTGAGGCTAAAATGGAACGACTGAAACGATTTAAATTAAATTAATTTGGAATTATTATACTATAATCGATCAGCACACGATGCTTGGGCATGCGACCGTGCGTGAAGGTTGTTGTTGGTTTGTAGGTTACGGGATAATTTCGTAAACAAATATGGCGGCGGTCGGTCACAACGTTGAGAGTGCCGGACCCCCGAAAACGCACCGCCGCGGTGGAGATTCGAGGTAAACCGCCGAATTCCAACGGTTGACCGTCCAAGTCGCCAGTCGGCAAAACCCAAAATAAAGTATAAACAGCCTCATATGACATGAGAGGGAAAAAATTTACCTCTTTTTTCCCGCGCAAAATTTTCAAAAAAGTTTTACATGATGGTAAAACGGCAGAAGAAGGCATTTTGGCTTCATTATCAGGAACAGAGGAGGAAACTTGATGGGCAAAAGACATATGTTTTACTGGCATTTTTGGCTGGATCTGAAAATAATCATGGTTCACCTCTATCATGCCCAGATTTTCGGGGAAATTGAATTTCATCCTTGGAGGCTCTATTTTTCAGGGAGAATCTAACTTTTCTGAGCAAAACCAAACTGATCCACAAAATGGGGTCATTTTCGGAATCAGTGCTAAAAATCTATCCAGCCATAATTTCTATCATTTAAAAAACCAGAAGGATTATTTTATGACCATTGTTTGTTTTTCACTGCTTTATTGAAGATGCATCACTGACACTATTTTTATTATTATGTGGAGCTTCCTTATTGTTGTCTTTCTTTGGAAGAGGAGTGGAGGTTAAAACATAATTAGAGCTATTTACCTTTGTTCAATGCCAAGATGCGCATTAATCGAGGCATAGCGCGCAGTTCCGGTTAAGTTTTTATCTTCCCGATAAGTAATGTGCTGTCGTGTGTGAATATCTCTATATTTTTTAGCCAGTCCAAAATCGATCAGGAACAACTATAAAAAAAAATAACTGATACATAAGAAAATGGTGAAATTGCAAAAATATGAAATTTTCCTCTCTTAAGAAATTAAGGGGCTCAGAGGTCTAAACTCGGTGGAATCTCATGTGAAATTTTGTAGAGAACATTTTTAGTCCTTCGACAATTTTGAGTATTTTTGAAAATTTTCGAGCAAATCGTGGATTTTTATGGGAGCACCTCCAGACCCTTCAATTTTGGACACGGCGGCCATTTTGAATATGTTGTTGTTGTCGGTTGATTGGCCTAATTCCGCGATGCAGATTAACAGTCACTTACAAAAGAGCTTGAATATGTTGTACCGGGAAACGGACATTTTGATTGTTAGAAAAAGGTGCAAAAGTGACTTTGTGGCCCCTTAACTATTATTTTTCATCTTAAAACTCGATGCCAAAGTCACAACACCCCTTTCCTAATTAGAACCTTTGGGAAACAGGCTGAAGCTTCCCCGAAGCCCTCCTCTCTGAATAGTCATCTAGTGGGCTAAAAATATTTTAACTGAGCTTTGTCGGGACAAGTGGAGGCTCCCAGGGAAGATTCTGGCTTCAAAACTTTTTTGGACACGTTTGCATGAAAAACTGGGGGAGAGGTGGTCTGAATCGCCATGAATATGCATGCAGAACTATTGATCATAAATCAAAGAAATTTAGAAAATGTTAGTGTTAACTTTGATGCACATTACTTACAATTAATAGAAAAAGCAGGTAAACATTTACAGAAAATTTACTAAAACTTTCATTAGTGAAGTATACATACTTTATTACAGTGTCTTCCGATTCCCATAAGAAAATTATCAGGCTTAATATCACGGTGAATAAAACATTTGCCATGGACATACTCTATGCGTCCGATCATTTGATCAGCTAACATCAGAACTGTTTTTAGTGTAAAACGTCTTGAACAGAAATTGAATAAATCTTCTAAAGATGGACCTAGAAGCTCCATCACCAATACATTGAAATCTTGCTCTTGACCATACCATCTGCAAACAAAACAGAAATTGAAGTAAACAAACAAAAATTTAAAAATAAACAATAATTGAAAAAACTATAGAAACCTGATTATGCAAACCAATCTAACATTGAACATGAGGTATCTTTGAAAACATTCATCCATAATTCAGATCATCAGTTAAACATTTACAAAAGCGCCGAAACTGCCCAGTGCCCACAGTCTAGTCTCTAAAAGATATGCTTTGTCTTCTTGGGATCCGCACCCCTTCAATTTTTAGTCTAGTCTAAAAAATTTTGGGAACTTAGAAAAGATAGTGCCAGTCATTCTCTCAGCAGGGATGCAGAAAGTTCTTGGCCATCCCATTTTTCAAGATGGTCTCCACACTTTAAAACCTCTTTTTTCCTGAGAAATTTCAAAATGCTAACTTTTTTTAGCTCTGAACAAATAAAACAACGCGATTTGGCGAAAAGTTCGTAATTCTTAAACCGCAGTTTTGTGAAATAACACGATTTTGCCGGTCTTCCCTGTTCAAAATCCCTTTTTGAGGCCTTCCCATTTTCGCACGCAACCGATCGTGACTGGCCGGTCGCGTGGTCGAGAAGTTTTTGCACCCCTTTTTCTCTGAGCCCAGCTTCGATGACTTCAAGACGTCCGTTCGTAATTGAACCGATTATTTTCCAAATCATGTTGGCGCCAATCTCTATTTTTGGTCATGGAGGGATTGTTTTTCCTTTGTTTTCTCTGGTATAATCAATCATGTCTGATTTCAAAAAGACTTTCTAAAAGAACATACATTTATTGGAATTAAAAGATTGCCAACAAAGTGAATAAAACGGTTTTTCTTGTATTCGCAATTTTGGTTCTTACATGATATGGAAGATAATTGGTTCAAATTACAGTGATACCAAGCAGCTCAAGGTGTGAAGTTAGGTTATCTGGCGAAGAGCTGTGCACGAAATACCAGGAAATTTGGCACCAACTAAATCACAATATTTTTTTTATGTCATGATCCTCACGCATGGTGTTTCTGAGTAGAGTTTAATTCGCAGTTGGTCGTGATTGAACATTTTGAGCTGGAACATCAAGAGGAGCACCTCTAGATGCTATAAATCGCAGAATTGAAAAAGGGTGCCTAAGCTTCTGCAGAAATAAGAGAATTTTTTTAGTTTTTCAAGGCTCTCTACAGAAGAAAGGCTCACATGGAAAGCTGAAATGCAGTACCACATATTGTTATCCAATATTTCAAAATGTCCACTTCTATTGGATTTTTTTGAGGAGAAAAAAGCTAACTTCATAGTTTGAAACATTAAAAAAATATTTTGTTAACAGAGGAGAGAAATTAAGGAAGTTTTCAAGAAATTAGGTTGACTAGTTTTGCAAGGAACCATTAAGTATGACAGGAAGTTTTTAGCGTTGCTAGCAGAGATATGTTGCTTTGCACTTTGGCCATCGATAAGTGGCAACTAAAGCTCCCTTGCCCCCCTCTACCTGGCAGGATTGACCTCAATTTTTAGTAGGTTATTGTCCGGTATGAGATACAAATTCCGAACATTTTTTTTTTTTTATCAGCGATGTCAAATTTTAAACATATGCATTTGGCAATAAAATTATGACATTAAGGCAGGATCACCTGTAAAATGTTTTCATCTATGAGTCACTTCACACTGATTTTCATAATTTGTTCTTTCAAATCATAAAGATTGCCTTGTTGCCGTTTTAGGTACTAATTATTTTCCAGATTTCACTTCCATTATTAATGGCATGATCTATACTTCCATCCTGAGTCAAGCCCACACCCAAGAGCTTAGAATCTGTGCTGGCTTGGATCTGCGGCCCATCTTCCAACTCACCCCTGCTGTTCATTTCCTTAAGTCAGTTTTTCAAGACTCAAAATGCTTCAAATGTCCACGAATGAAACCTACTTTAACTTCTGGAAACAGCTTTTGGGACTTACAACCATAAACTTAACCTAAGGTAATAGAAACTCCACACACCTGAGAAACTTTCAAACAACTTTAGATAATTAAATTGTGATGCTAAAAAATTGTGGAAGTATTGATGTACTGACACTTTTACAGCATATAGTACACTAGGTAAAAGAAAAAAAATAATCCTACCGTATGTGAGGAATTCCTACGCCACCGTGCAAAACTTTGTAGAGTTTACTCTCATATAAAAGTTGAGGATGTCTGGCCCTGATTGGTTCTAATTTAACAGCTACTTCCTGGAAATGAAAAAAAAATCAAAGTTAGAACTGCTATTTCAGATACAAAAGAGAAAATCACAGATGCAGAAAGTTTGTAGCTTTTTCATTTTTCAAATTGGCCTCCCGATTCTGAACACCCCCAATCCCCCAAAATTTTCTAAGTATTTTATATTGCCCTTTTCGAGAACTAAGAGCCATTGAAGAATAATAATACCTCAGATAAATCATTGCCAGATCAAGGGAAGGGGTCATGGTGGCATGGGCTTGCCCTGGGGCTAGGGGCATCCCTGAGAGTGGGAGGAGGAGGGGATCTAGCAAACCAGGCCTTGAGATGTAAATACAAAATGACAGCAAATAATTAGAGAGATTAAAAAAGAAGGAAAAAAAAGTAATTAGCTTAAGAAGAATAACTTTGATAATTATTAGCAAGAATTATGTCAAAATAATTAACTTCCTAGGAGACTTATTTCAACTAGCTGCTCCGGGCGCCCTCCACAGCTAGCAATGGTGGTGCAGTAGCTTATTTGGAATCGGAGCGATTAGTTGAATCTATTTAATAATGATGATGATTCTGCGGCAGAAGATCAAGGAATTTAACTGCCTCTCTGCGTTACAGGGTGGGGACTGCCATTCTACCGAAAAATGTTATAAAAAGCTCGCATTATTAGTTTTTCTTTTTTTTGTGTTATTTTTTAATTTTTTTTAATTTGTATTTTTTGATAATTTTCTAATGACTATGAGGCTTTAGGGATTTATAAAAGATCAAAGCACCTCTTTGTGCACGATGTTTTTTGTACGGTTGCCTTTAGGAAGAATTTGGACTTCAAAATTTTTGTACGATGTAGCTCGTGAGAGTGCAACATATAGTTGACCATGGCCAAAAACTGTTTGGGGTAAATAAATATCGACTCGCTTCAGTGTTCGACCCTTAGCTTTGATGATGGTCATGCAGAATGCAATGCGAATTGGACATTGTCGCCTCTTAAAAGAGAAAGGGAGAGAGGAGTCTGCAGGTGACAAATCAATTCTTGGCAGTGAAATTCTTTCACCGGCCTTCCCGCCGGAAATGACCTGCAAATCAAGACAATTTTCATAACGTTTCCAGACGATCAATTGGGTACCATTCGATAAACCTTTAGAAACGTTGAGGTTTCTTAAAAGCATGACAACCCCCCCCAAAGTGTGAGTTTATGCGGTGGTAAGCCACTAAGATTAAGACTGTCCAAGAATTCGAGGGGAAAATTGAGAGCCTCTCCCTCTTCCTCTACGATGAGCCTGTTAACACTGAAGTACGTTTTAGAGACACCTGAAAGAACTTCAACAACCTTGTCGTTAATTTCATTGCAATGCTTATTGTTAGGGGCCAGAATTGCGCAGTTTGTAAAAACTACGTTCGAACATGAGGAAGCTATCTTTTCCATAAATTTCAGTAATAATATCAGTTTCAGTAACACTGCTTGTCGGTAAATCAATGAATTCCGGCATGGCCTTTTTGAGCAGAAAAGTAAACAACATCACCTATTTTGAGTTAAAATTTTGCAAACTCCGCTTCGTCTTGCAAAGTTCTCATATTTTGAGCAAGTTTTCTGATTTTAAAAAGAGGTCAAAGTGGTGAGAATTTGATTGCATTTTGCACCAATGTTTGGTGAGAAGCATGCGGAACAACGGGTAAAACCTGTCTAAAATCACCACCCTAGACGACAATTTTTCCTCGAAAAGGGATATCATTACCCATTCTCTAAGAAGTCGGTCGATGCATGCCAGTGCATGCGTGATAACCATGGGAGCTTCACCCCAAGAAATGATCGTTGTTTTCCGAATAGTCTCAGCCTCTCTTGAGCTAACCGACAGACACGACACAGAATTCTCATTCAGAACCGAAGGAATTTTGAATTTGCTATGAACCGGCCGACCGTTAGGTAGCAACGATGCGGCGATACCTGTCCAAGCAACGGAGATGACGTCTTATAAGTTTTCCTTTGTACAATACACAGTAAGACATTCTTAAACGAAAGTTTTTCCCGATCCTCCTGGGCCATCAATGAAAATCGCATTACACGTGTAAGATGGATTTTGGATGAGACTAATTATTTCAGATATAATTTGATGTTGCTCTGGGTTAGCGGCAGAAATAATGGAATCATAGTTTTATGGGGAGGAGAGTCAGGCTCCAACCCTTGAAGATTCAGGTTAATTGGAAGCAATTCCGGAAGATCAAATGATAATATTGAAAATCCATGAAGTCTTAATGTGCTTTCAATAGCAAAAAGCCGATCAACGTGGTCGACCGACCAACAAAATAAAGAGAGAGGAAGAAACGAAGTAGGTATCAAGCAAATTTGAAACAAAGTTGGAAAGAGAAAAGAACAAATAAGAATGAAATGTCCATAACAATACATGTTGTTAGCAATACGTGTGCGCACCGCTGCAGTTAATAAGTCAGGGTCAGTCAAATCGCCAGGTAGCCGAGAGATTGCGACGGAATGTGGGTGGTGAGTGACGAACGACAATGCGACCCAAACCTTCTTTGAGGTTGGTGAGAGGAAAGCTATACGAAAGCAAACGGAGATAGCCGAAAGAACGTGGTGGGAGGGGTGGCTGAGACCCTAGAGGGGGTATCTAGGGACGGGCAAGCAGGTAGCGGCCAGATGACCGCTCGAAACAGCTGAACTTCACTCGTCGATAAAAGTAAGAAAATTTGAGAAAATCGAAAAAACAATTACAGCCTGCAAATCTACAGATCAGAAGCTTTCATTTAAAAAAAAACCCATGCAAATCGGTCCGGTGGTTCTCTCAAAGTTAATGTCCCAAAATGCTGACTTTAGTCTGAAAAAATGGGAGAAAATTTGAGCCCAGCTAAACTTCACTCGTCGATAAAAGTAAGAAAATTTGAGAAAATCGAAAAAACGATCACAGCCTGCAAATCTACAGATCACAGGCTTTCATTTAAAACAAAAATCATGCAAATCGGTCCGGTGGTTCTCTCAAAGTTAACGTCCAAAGATTCGGACCTCCGTTTTAATGCATCGAAGAAAATTCGAGAAAATTATGGGAGAAAATTTGAGAAAATCGAAAAAACGATCACAGCCTGCAAATCTACAGCTCAGGGGCTTTCATTTAAAAAAAAGATCACGCAAATCGGTCCGGTGGTTCTCTCAAAGTTAATGCCCTAAGATTTGGAACTTTGCATTTTAATACATAGGATTTTCAGTCCTTTTGTTCTGCTAATTTTGGACCAAATGAACTCAAAGAAGTCACGTTAGTAAGTCATAAAATGTTCTTTAAGCTCGTACATCGCGCATTTTGCTGGCTATTTGCTTGCTTGCAAGAAGGTTGGTAACAAGACTTTTAGCACACATTGAGCTTGGTGTGCTACAATTCCAACCATTGAAAGAAAAAATATTCTTACAATTTCGGGTTACTTGATCACGCTGTGAGTTTTATCTGAGTGCTCTGTGGAGTGAAAGATAGGAAGTTAGAAACCCTGAGCCCTATCATAAAGCAACTATTCCCACCTCAGTGCATCGTCGGTAAATGAATTGAGAATTCAAGGCAAAACGGCGGGAGATAGCAAGAGAATCATCTTCAGGGTATTTCAAGATACTAGTGATTAGGGTGTGGGGTCTCCCTCCGAAGACCCTAAAACCCTCTAAGACATGATAATAATAATAATAATATTAGAGGCCTTAGGCAAGTAGAAACTGCGTTCAAGTCCTGCCTGATAAATATGAAACACTATTTACAAGAGAAAGCAGCAGAAGATCCTTACATCAGGATGGTGTTGGAAAAAGATCGAAGAGCCCCAGCCAAAGGGTCCATTGGAAAACAGGCCCACAATGGGCCTGTTGCAAACTGTTGCTGAACAGGGCCGGATTTACCTATAGGGCACTGGGGCACTTGCCCATAGCGGCAAATTTTGAGGGGCGGCAAATTTTGGCACTGGATTAATTGAAAGTTAAAGCGAGAAAAAAGGAAAAAATGGAGACAGAGACGGAGCGAAGTGAAAAAATGAGCGGCAAAATGTATGAAGGAAGGGAGTTGACGCTTGACGGGAGCGGCAAAGCTGCCGCCCCTTAGGTCCGGCCTTGAGCGCTAGGATGATCGTTCGTTGGAGTGATACTAAACAACACGGCAATTTTAAACATCGAGGCAGACTTGATAATCAATTTAGACGTTGATGCTCTGGTTGACAGCTTTCCTAAACTGAAAACCCGGAGAAAAACTTTTTAACCTGATCTTCCGAAAATACTAGAGTCCCTTTATACCCAGAGTTACGACAACTCGATTATCAGCTGACTGACAGCCGGCCTTGGCTGGCCATGGAGGCCGAAACGAGTGCACCCTAACGAACGATATTGAGGGATAAGGATCAGGAATCCTGCGATGTCTGTCACACAAAAACAACAACATCAACAAATTGATCAATTAAAAAGAAAATGAGATTGGTTTGTGAATAATTTCTTGATCTATTTTCATTTTGGACCGATGGAAATAACAATTTACTCTTGATAAACCACAATTAGGTAATATTTTCATTGTTCTTGTTCACATACGAGGTACCGCCATCTTGGTGCAATCGTTTCGGCCTCCATGAGCGAGAACCAATCGGAATTGGATTTTTTTTTAGGCCACTTTCAGCCCAACCCTGGCCCAACCTAGAGTACCTGTATAGGGAGAGTAGCGACAGATCTGAAACTCCGAAAGTCCATCAGGCCTTCACCGATGCCTCCGCGAATAAAGTTAGGGCCCAAAAGGGCAGCCAACCTATGAATTTCGAATGTCCAGAGCGATTTACAAATACAATTGTTACGAACCGTCGTTTAGAAAGCATGTATTTGGTTTACTTTTTGCATAAATTTACTTATTTTTGCGAAAGAACGCTCATTTATGTACATTCTTAGCCATCTTGGTTAGAATTGAAATCTGTAGGCTGGCAGTGAAATTTTGTGTGTTAGAAGTTGCTCAGAAGGGTGGCTGCACTTTTGGGCCCTAAGCCCTCCATGAACCGATCTGTCGCT